TGTCTCACCGAGCACTATCAAAATATGCACAAAAAAAACAATTTTCGAAAATGTGTGGAATTCACGGTTTTATCAGGCGACCGACGATAATATATTATAAATATTAAAACAGAAGACTTTCAAGACTGTGTTTTGTCAAGAGACATCTTACCCAGAGAATCTATCCTTGTACTTTCTTGGATGCAATGTACATACCTCGGATAGCAAACGAATTTCGGAAATAGTAAAGAAAGGTTGTCGTGTAAGTTCAGCCCAATGCTGGAAATTTTATATTAAATTACTAGGAAAATCAGGATTTTCAAAGGCTGCATGCATGGGTGGTCAACCTCTCTATACATTTGTGTTTTCTGGACAATCGTTAGGAAAAAAATATAGAAGCAAAACGAAAAATGTGATTTCTAAAGAGACTGTTTAAAGTTTCATGAAATGAAATTAAAGGAAATCAAATTAGATACACCTGAAAGGAGCCAGTTAAAACTTGTCATAATTGAAAACAATTATAAAGGGACAATATTCTAATGTACTTGCTAGGACATTTGGATTGACAAAAGGACCTGAACATATTGCTCTCACTGGAAAAATAGAAGGTTAAAGAAGGAGAGGTAGACCAACAATAGCTAACTCAAAGAACTTGGACAGGTGTGTTGCAATAAAATACCAGCATATTTTTTTAAGGGGGGGGGGGGGGTCTTTGGTGTGTGTTTTGTTGTGGTTGTTTTGTTTTGTTTTGTTTTGTCTTTTAGTTGTCTTCTTGTGAGCTTATGAGCTGAGAAATAAGCAGCGAACTATGAACGCAGATGCCTGTTTCTGATCTGGCACTTGAAGATATACCTGTATATTATATTATAGGATGATTAAACAAGAATACGCCAAAATCATCACACGATATTTCAAAAATTAAAAACAATAGAAAGCTCCAGCGTGTACACATATTATGTTGTACGTACCTAAACGTTTTAATATCATGTTTTACAAATGCTCAACGTGACCACCGCCGGCAGCACGGACAACATCAAGCCGATATATGAGAATTCCTCCCAAACGCGCCCCAGAATTGTCTCGGTCCATCGTATTGATTGTAGCTGTTATTCGATCTTTCATGTCATCGATATTTGCAGGAAGTGGTGGAACATAAACGTGCTTTTGACATACACCCACAAGAAGTGTCTATTCACTTTACTGCACACACATTTGAATGACTTCAATTTTCAACAAGATGGAGCACAGCCCCATTGGCTTTTCTGGGTTCGAACTTATCTGAATAAAAACGTGCCTCAGCGGTACATTGGTAAGGGAGGGGCTATAGACCTCGCTCTCTGAAGTTGGCCAGCCAGATCTCCGGACCACACTGTGAGTGGATTTATTATTATTTTTTTATTTTTTGGGTAAGGATATGCTAAAGACAAGTTTATGTTCCACCACTTCCGGCAAATATCGATGCCATGAAAGATCGAATAACAGCTACAACCAACACTGAGGCCAGAGACATCCTGTGGCGCGTTTGGGAGGAAATCTCGTAATATCAGCTTGATGTTGTCTGTGCAGCCAGTAATAGCCGCATTGAGCACTTGTACAACGTGAAATAAAAACATGGAGCAAATATGTTAAACAAATATGTCCAAGCTAGAGTTCTCCACTGTTTTCGTTTTTGAAAAACAAGATTCAGCCAAATTAAATATATACAAACTATTTAAATCCAGGAAACTATCTCTCACTTTATTAAGAAAGAAAAAGCTGGAATATTACATGATCTTCCCATATTCCTATATGGCGCAGAGACCTGGACTTTGACAATGAAAGAAGAAAAAAAATGCGTTTGAGATGTGGTGCTACCATAAAAACAAACAAAGAGGTGTGTCAGATTCTACACACAAGACAAACCCTGCAGAGTAAAATAAAATGTAGAAAATACAATACTATGGCCACTTAAAATGGCATGAGACCATTGTGAAAGAGGTGCTTGAAGGAAAGATGTGGGACAGGAAAGCCAGAGGAAGGCAAAGAATAACATGGATGGACAACATGAGAACATGAACTGGCCTGGATATGGAAGAATGTGAAAAAGCAGCTCGCGACCGTGAAAGATATGGAGGGTCATTACGCGTTAACCTCAGAGTCAGAGATGACACCCTCAGGTATCCAGGTATGGCATAATATGATATCTTATTTATTTTTATGACATAATATATTACATATTAAATACTGGTAACCAAAAAAACAAAAACAAAACCGTACCACTTTTGTGGTTGTGCAAAAAAACTGTTCTTTTGAGTCTTTATTCTTTTGTTTCCACGTGAATAATACTAATAGTAATACTAAGAACTCTGCTGAAGAGAACGCCATGCCATAAAATCAACATACATTTGGTGCTTAAATTAGTTTTCACAGCACCCAAGTCAAATACAGAAAATTGGCCTCCCCCCC